GTAGGATTCCAATTTCATGAAGGTGAAGAGAGCAAAATATGAATTTCTATATAATTTGGGAAATATCGTATAAACAAAAGAGATCCTGTAGGTGTTTATTTTGTTCTCTGTGACTATATGATTACTCTTTGAGATTCTTGCTCTAGCATATCTTAAAAGGGCAGATTGTTTCTGCAGTTCTATTTTACTCTTCTTAGTTGTAAATTTATGTTTCATTGTTGTCTTGCCTTTTGGTTTTTCTTTTCCCTGTCTCTATGCCTTTTGGAGTATGGAAAAAGAGATGGAGTATTTTACGAGACATGCCTAGTTATCCTTTTGCAAAACAAGTAAAAATCGTTATTGCAACCATGGCACTTCATAACTATATAAGAAGACATGCCAAACGTGATTGTCATTTTGATGAAAGTGAAGATGACCTAAATGGTATTCAAGGTGAAGAGATTGAGATAGAGGGTGATGCACAACAAGAAGATGGTCCTGCAACACAAGAAATGGAGGCTTTGAGAAATCATATAGCCGCAAGTTTAATGAGTTCCGCTACTTAGAAATGTATATGATTTCTTGTTTATGACTACCTTAATTTTTGTTATGACCATGTTTTTTTACAATATATTTATTTTTAATGGAATATTTATTTATTTTATAATTAAAATAAAATTTAGGGTGTGATGGAAACATATTTAATACAAAAAAAATAATAAATAAAGTGAAAGTGATTTTCCTTTTACCAAACACTTGAACAAAAAAGCCAATTTAACATAATGTCCTTTTTCGTCATTATACACAGCTCACAGCACTTTCACAAAAAAATTTACCAAACACTGAGAAACTGATTATTGGACAAACAGCAATTATAAAAAAAAGTTTACCAAATGCCAAACTGCTTTCTCTCACAGCTAATTTCTCTCACAGCAAATTTGAAAGCGATTATTTTCACAGCACAGCAATGCCAAACTGGCCCTTACAATCAAACCCCTATACCCTATGCAAAATCCTAGCTCTTTATCACTCACACTCTTGCTCAAACCCAATTTAATGGCCCATTGTATTCTATATTATTTAACATAACTCTCAAGTTCCTCTTTATACCTTATAGGGCTTGGGTTACAATACAACTCGAAGTAGGAAACAAAACCCTTTATGTTATTGTTTCTGCCTCTCACATTCAGATTTCGGATGATTTTCTTGCTATCTTTTATAATTTTTTTAGGGTACTTTTATTTTATTAAACATCGTTGTCATTATTAGGAAACTGCAAGTGTGCGAACGAGAAATCTTTGTCATTACGAAGAGTATTCAAATTTCATTTATTAAAATTAGGGCTATGCAACAAAACCAAGCTCGACTGATAAGGTGACACATCCACCGAATTTACCTTGTCGGTGTGCCTTTTTTGTAGATCGCCACCAAGGTAGTGATGCCATCAACTGACTACAATTGACAGGTCGATTCGGTTTCAATGAGAACCTATGTGATTATGGCAATGGAAACGAGCAAATCTAGTCATGAAGGGGCGATGATGCAGGAGGAGAGAGAGAGAGAGAGACACAGAGAGAGAGAGAGAGAGAGAGAGAGAGAGAGAGAGAGAGGAAGAAAATGGTGAAGCGACAAGAAGATAGGGAAAATGCTAGGGTTTGTTTAGACATGTGATGGGCGAATTCAGTGTGGGGAATATGGGCTCTCTTTTAAGGCAACCAATAGGATAAAGCCACACAAAAAAGGTTACTTTGAAAAGAAAAAAAAAAGACCGATTCGGTTCAGTTTAATTGGCGAATTTAACCAGTTCAATCCAATTTGACCGTTGAAAATGCCCAATTCTTATTGAAATATAGGAGACCATGGAGACACATGTGCTTGCGCTGATGATGCTTACAACACATTTCGTTTCAAGCCTTCCTTTAATGGCAGGGTTTTGAAGTGGCAAAAAAAAGGGTAAGGTATGTTCTAAATTTCTTTCTTAATTTTTTGTTTTTGATAAAGTATGCTTTGAATTTCTATTGGTTGATCGCTCTCAAAGGGAAATACGTCATAATGGTGATCAATTGTCATTTCAATAACGTTAGCCTTTAGATGTCCACAAACCAATATGCTTTTAAATTCTTATGATTGCATGTAGTGATAGAGCTAGAATTTTTAGATCAGGGATGTGCATGATCCAATTCAATGTGTTCAAATCGACCAATCCAATCTAATCCAATTTTAATCAGTTTCGATAATTTGGCGGATTGGATTGGATTCCTAATTTCCAAAACCGACATTATTGGATCGGATGACGGATTTGATTGTGGGGATCCAATCCAATCTAGTTAGGTTCATGCTTATTTTGCTCATTAGGTAATTGTCATTAAGAAAGTTGTAAGCATTTTAAGCAATTTGATGGAGTTATGTTTAATATATTATAAAATCAAAAATACTTTCTTTAACATTTCATTTATATTTTACATTTACATCTACTAAAATGTTTGATTATATTAAACTTGACGATGTATGTTTCATATTTCATGATTATTTTTTCCAATATGAAAACCGATCATCCAATCCAATCCAATCCAATATTAATTGAATCGGATCAGATTGAATTTAAACCTTTAATGTGATCGAATTGGATTGAAAAAATCATAATCCAATCTATATTGGATCTATGCGAATTGATGAAATTATATTAATTTTGAACCGACGTACACCCTTATATCAAGGGACCAAATTTAAAACTTAGGGTAAATTACTCAAATGGTCCTCAAACTTATACCCGATTTACATTTGGTCCCTCAATTAAATTATTCGTTCAAACAGTCCATCAACTATATATTATTCGCTCCATTGGTCCTATCGTTACATTCTGTCAATATTTCCATTAAATATGAGGGCAAATTGGTCATTTTGTCCATCAACTCTCTCTCTCTCTCTCTCTCTCTCTCTCTCTCTCTCTCTCTCTCCTTCTTCATTGTCGTCGTCTTCTTCTTCTTCTTCCTTTCTTCCTTTCTTCCTTCCTGGCTCTGCTACTCTCACCCGATCTCCCCATCCTCAGCTCCTACCTCCACTGGCCCTACAATACCTCCAACTCCTCTCCATCCATCGCCTTTGTCTCTACGCCCTCCCAATCTGACGGCTGGGTAGCATGGGGCATCAACCCCACCTCCACCAAGATGGTTGGGGCACATATCCTCTTAGCCAATGGTTGCTATTGCTTCTATGAGTTGGGCAATTTGTATTTGCTAAAATTGTCCCATAAATGATCAAATTACTAACATATTTGAACAATTTAGCTTATGATTGTGGATTGTTTTACAACTGGAAGAGAAAGGTGGTGGTCATGGGGGAATGGCAGGAGAAGAAAACCCCCCAGGGGTAGGTTCAGGGGTAAAAAAGAAAAGAGAGGAGGTGGGTTGGGGGATTTGTATGGGAGTGGAGGGTGGTCATGGGGGAATGGGAGGAGAAAACCGCAGAAGGAGGGGGCGAGAGGGGGAGGGGGGGTGAGTTTTGGTTATGTTCTTAGGATTATATATATATTTTTTATCTCCTTTTCTTCAATTTTTTCTAATTTTGTATTTATTTTAACCCTATTTTTATTTGTTAATTATGAAAAGTCATATTTACCCTAAAATTTGGTTAAATCTAACAGAAAATTAGACAATGGGATCAATGGAGTGAATAAATATAGTGTTGATGAACTATTTGAACGAATAGTTTAATTGAGGGACCAAAATGTAAATCGAGTACAAGTTTGAGGACCATTTGAGTAATTTACCCTAAAACTTAATTGTAAATCACTTTATCATCTTATATGAGAGGGCCATCACTCACTAAATTGTGAATTTTTGTTTGTTTGTAAAATCATATATATTTTTTTCCAAGTGTTGTAGGAGTTGTAAGGGATTTTTGGAAAGGAAAGCAGGACCACTTCAGACTTGGCTTTGGCTCCTTCAGTGCACATATTACGATGATGTATCTCCATGCCAAATTTACCTTTTCTTCCTCTTCGGTTTCTTGATGTTTTATTTTTCAGTCAGTTGGCTAGCAGCATCTCCAAGGAGATGTTAAATGCAAAATGTTAAATTTAAATTTGATGACTTATATGGCAATTTGATCATTTGGAAAAATATTAACTCCACTCGAAATGTCAAAGGTCATATTATTTTATTATATTTTCAAAAGCAAATGAGGCTCATATGATGCATAAAGTTTTAAAAAACGGTAAATGATAGTTTTTTTTTTTTTTAAAAACTCTTTTTAAAAACTTTATGCATCATATGGGCCTCCTTTGCTTTTGAAAATATAATAAAATAGTATAACCTTTGGCATTTCGAGAGTAAATGATAGTTTATGACCTAAAAATTAAAAAAAAGTAAATGATAGTGGGGTCCATGACTAAAAAAATATTTGACATCAAGCTTTCTGATATGTTATTTTTGACACATCTCTTTCAACATTCAAATCCACATAGGATTTAACCAAGGTGGTTGGTGTGAGTGGTTCGGCACTCTCATTCCTTAAGAGAGGTCAGGGGTTCGATCCCTGCTCTCGTATGGAGTCACCACTTTGGCCAACACTTTACCCCTTACGGGCCGACCCAGTGTGAGTGGGGATTAGTCTGGGTTGTGGTTAAGGCTTAAAGGTGCCACCCATAGTTGGAGCCCATTCAGGGCCCCCTCGTGGTTTAGACAAAAAAAAAAAAAAAAAATCCACATAGGATTTGACTACTCAATTGGAGCAACTTTAACCTTCAATTTTTAACATTTTATGTCCATATGGCAATTTGACATATCGATTGGAGACGCTTTAAGTTATTTTTTCAGCCAGTCAGATGCAATAAAAGATTACATTTTACTTGAATGCTGGGTGTGATGATCAAATTGTTAAATGCAAATAGCTTTCATAAAAATTTACTGCATTTAAGAAGCCCATGCTCCCACATTTCGACTTTTGAATCCAAAGCCCAGGCCCAACTAAAGAATGAAATGCGAACAAGTCTGAAAAACCCTAGCAGAAAACCTGGCGGCAATTCGCTTATAAAAAGCCCCCTAAACCCTCTGACCATCGCCTCTTTACATCGCGCTCTCTCAAATCAAAACCCTAGCCCAAAAACCCTAGCCCCTGCTCTCTCTCTCTCTCTTTCTCCCTGTTTCTTGCTCGCTCAATCGCTCTGCTTCAATGGAATTTTGGGGTAAGCGTCTCTGCCCTTATCTACTCCTATTCTTCTTTTATTCCTTTTCTCACTGTTTAGCGTTTCTCAGTGTTTGTCCTTTACTCACTGTTTACGTTCTCAGTGTTTAGCTGAAAACAGTGCTTTTGTTCGTTTTTGATATTCTGTGTTTAAGGCTTAACTTGGTGCAATGTCTTGTGATAATTGTTTTACTGTTGTGTTTTCATGTTTTGCATTTTATTTCTGATAATTTCTTCAACGTGCTTCTGTACGCTAGAGGTTATGGTTGTGAGTAAGCTTGTCTCGGATGGGTCTGAAATTGTTTGTGTGGTTTCTGTGTATAAACTGGTTAAATCATAAGTTTTGGACTTGATGATTTTCAATCAGTGACTTCTTATAGTTTTGGTTTTATGGTTTTGCTGATGAAAAATTATTGTTTCTGAGCCAGTCTCATTTTGTACATGAATTCTAGGCTTTAATCGTGTTGAATTTGCAAACAATTTCTCTGTAACATGTGCCTTACAGGTGCCAGTTCCCCAAAAACCATACGCTTGATGATCTGAACCCCACTTTTCTTTTCTTCTATTTTATTAGAACCCTTTGACGATTTTTGTTATTAGTCTTCTTCTCGCCAAGTCGTAGTCGTGTTATGTGATGTGGATGGATATTTTTGCATGCAGCTGGTTTAGTCTTTATATGCAATCATCCTTCCTGTTTTGTTCTTGATGTTTCTGTACTCTTTATAATAATTACGTTTGTTTATTTTAGGTGTTGAAGTGAAGGCTGGAGAGCCAGTAAAATATGTGCCTGTTGATGGCAAAGTTGTGCACCTGTCACAGGTAGTGTTTCTTTTCTAAACTAGTTCTCTTTGTTGGATTCGTCTACAAATATTTCTTTGATATCACTGTGCGTGTCAGTGCCTTGTTTTAAGATGTTTTAACGTTTCTTTTTCTCTAGGCTTGTTTGGGCGAGACAAAGAAGGGAGTTGATCAGGGTGTCATCTCTGTGAAGATCGATGACAAGAAGTTTGTTTTGGGAACTCTTTCATCTGATAAATTCCCTCATTTGTTCCTTGACTTGGTTTTTGAGAAAGAGTTTGAGCTCTCGCACAACTTGAAAAATGGAAGTGTCCACTTTTGTGGTTATCAGACCTTGATTGGAGAATATCCTTTTGATAATTGTGTTGTATGTTGAATTGATTGTTTGAGCATGACATTTTATGTTTTTCTTTATGAACGAGCTACTTTGTATATTTGCCCTGGAGTCTGCAGGGAAAGTTATTTTTCTGTTTTCTTGTATCATTTCTTAAAAAAATGTTAATCAGTAACTTCGAGCAGTTTATGGTGTTTGAGCAGAAGTATTGATTATTTTTGGAAAATAATTCGTCCATAATAATTATATTTTAAAATGAAATTTTTGTATACAGGGCTTGATTTTGTATTGAAATTAAAATATTGAATGTTGATGATTTGATGTTTTAGCATTGATGAATTGTGATATTTTGTATTTATTCATTGCTTCCTTGACTACTTGATGTGTTCTTTGCTGCCACGGACGAGGAGGGTGATTCAGGTAAATGCAATGCCATTTTCTTTTTTTGTGTTGACATGATTATAAATTTATTATATGTCCTTAGCTAATCGGTTACCATTTTCTGCTTATGTAGAATTTGATTCCTCAGATGAGGATGTCCCGATGGAAATCACACCGAATGGTAAATGTTTGACATGGATCTTCCAATTTGTCATGTGGTTTCTGTCGATCTTATTTATTCTTATCACTTGTTCATAAACTGTGCACAGGAATACCAGCTCCTTCCAAGACTAACACTGTGAAACCTGAAGCTTCTGAAAAGCAAAAAGTTAAGATTGATGAGCCAAGTAATGATGATGATGATGGTTCTGATGATTCAAGTTCTGAGGATGGTTTGGGTGGTTTTGAAGATTCATCAGATGAGGTATGGTCACAGATTCATATACAGATTTTGCATCCATGATTCATTCATATACAGATTTTGCACCGATTGCATACAGTGCTTGGCCTTGAATAAAGGCTTGTTGTGTCACTAAAGTGCTTTTGTTTTACCCAACTATGAAGATACGTTTTCATGTGTTGATTTGAAGTTGTTTGTTGTCTGAGCTTATTGGTCAAAATATATTCTTGATTGGCTTAGCTTGTAATGCCCTCTATAGTAGTAGTATGCAACTGCTTAATCACTTTGGTAATTTGTATTTCTGATTGTAGGATGATGATAGTGATGAGGATGATGATGCTACTGATGAGGATGATGAGGAGACACCTACTCCTAAGAAGGTAATGAAATGGTTTTGTGGTTCTCACAGTTTGCCTGATCTTCTTTTGAAATTATCGACCTTGATTATTTTTGCGAGTTCGGTTGTTCATGTTTGTTGATTGTTTATTTTGAAGGCTTCCAAGAAAAGACCCAATGAATCTGCTTCTAAAACTCCAGTCCCTGCTAAAAAAGCCAAGCAAGTAACTCCTCAGAAGACTGGTACTCTCTCTCTCACTCTCTCTCACTCTCTCTCACTCTCTCAATAATACCCAAATAGTCATAGTGTATTTCGGTGTTACCTGTAATGGCTAACTTTTTTACGAATTTTTACAGATGGAAAGAAGGCTGCGCACACTGCCACCCCACACCCTGCAAAGAAGGGTGGAAAGACTCCTGCTACAGGTGACAAGCCCAAGCCACAAACACCAAAGTCTGGTGGCGAGCACTCATGCAAACCTTGCAGCAAGTATGTTAAGCATACCATTTTGTTGTTTTCTGCGTGTAGTATTTGTGTTCTGTAGCTGGTTTTTATGCTTGTCATCTTGCTGTTTGCAGGTCGTTTAATTCTGATGGTGCGCTTCAGTCACACAACAAGGCCAAGCACAGTGCCAAGTAGAAGGACGTGCAGGATCGTGGCATGCTTATGATATATTGTAGTTATTTTTGGTCATTGAGAGTACAGAGGGTGATATGTTAAGGTTATGGTGGTAGCAACGGTTGTCCTCTGGTTTTGAGTTATCGGCTTGTCTTTTAGAGTTGTTATTTCACAGTTAACTGAACCTATATTTTACTTTTCTATTTGGATATTGCTTATTAAACTTAATTAGGTGCGATATGTTTAAATCTCATAGTCTTTTTTAAGTTGAAGTGCTCTACTTTTAGCCCTTCTTACAAAATGAGAGAATGCTCTTTGACCTTTCAATTGTCCTATATAGAAATTGGATCGATTTTCCAGGGTTTATAAAACTGTGTTTATGTCCTATTGGAATAGCTATTGATTTTTCAGTGTTAATGGAGACTGAGGGTTAAAAGGACTGCTAATAGAACTTTTGGTAGAAAAATGTGAAGGCGTTTACGCTGGGTGCTTGAATTACTGCTAAAAAGCACGTGAATTTTTAACGAAAGTCTGGGTTGCCACCTCTTGATCCGATCCCTGGAAAAATCTGGGTCTCATATTTAGAAGAGTTTTCCATGGATTGCTGGGGAGGAGACGAGTTTCAAGGCTGATGGGAAACCCTGAACTTGACATCTTTAAACCTTAGATTCCGCTGGATGAGTCGTCCGAATTTCCTAGCTGCAAATTCAGTTAGGACTTCAGATGTTGCATCTTGCCAGATGTAAAGCTCAGAGCCGTTGATTTCGAATTTTGTGATCGTATTGTGCATTTGGAGCTTGTAAAGCAATTTGCTTCACATCCAACTTGCAGCCCAGGTTCAATGTGCACACTATTCTCTGAATAGTTTGAGAGCTATAACAGAGGCACAAGTTTCGGTCTCCTCCAATCTCTTCTCGTCAAAAAAAATAACTGAATAAGAAATTCAAGTATCATATTCATTGCTTTTTGAAATGCTTCGGAAACAATAAGTTCAAAAAATATGATGTCGGAAGGGTTTTGTAACTCAAGTGGTTAAGAGCATTTTTTATATTTAATTCCCCTCCTTCCAATATGGCTTGTATTTTAAAAAAAGAAACGAACCTCAGTCGCGGGTTATGGGCCTGGTGTAATAAGAAGCAAGTGGTGCATACTCAGAAACAAGTATAGGCCTTACTTCTACCTCATTTCCTTGCAAACCAAAATTGAAATTTCAAATAATTTTTTTTTAATGTTTATAAGTCTCTTGTTTCAAAACGAGTATGATTCTGAAGATTTTCTTTGAGATTTAATGGCTCAAAACCAGGTCCAAAGTAGGCTAGAAAATTTGGAAATTTCTGGGTCGTTCATTTCCAGTTTCATACCCACGCTTTGAGCCTCGATTCCTCCGTGTGTGGTGGGTGTTTGTGAAATCTTTTTTTCGGGTGGATCGTTGGTTTTGTGGGTGTAAAAGTAGCTTTAAATTTACAAACAGAATCATTAAAATCTGGAATTTGGAACTATAAATTTACCAAAACCTGCTGCACCCAAAATCCATACACAACAATAGCCATAAGATTAAATTGCAAAACTTGGGATAGATTCCATGTTGACTTGTGAAGAAAAGGAAAATAAAGTCGGAGTCCTAAAGGTCTATGCTGTCCCTCCAAACAAGAAACCCATCGCTGCATAGAAATTAAAGTTTCAAGATTTATGCATCAGATATTTCCATGACAGTGGCAAAACCCGATAATCCAAATGTAAGAAGTTCACCTATACCATTTATAAAGTTCTTAGAAACAACCCACCCTGATATAACATTTAGGCATAACATTTAACACATTCCTCTTTCATGCCCAGGATTGATAAACCAGCAGTAACAAATGGCTCGACATTAAGTTCACAGATGATTTTAAGAATTGTCAATAACTTAAACAGAAGGAATAACATCATATCCAGTCAAGATTTTAATGCTTGTACAATTCCAAATATGACAATACAACTGGTCCAACAACAAAAGATTTTGGATGCCACACTAAACCTGCATTATGATTAGCCTACTACAATCGACCAACAGCAATGACCTACCAACAGTAATAACCTACATCAGTCGTTTGAGTGATGGAATAGGAATATACTTTCACACTTCTGAATTGAAACCTGAAATATCGTATAACCCCATTCTCCTGAATCCTGATACACTGCACCAGCAACCTGTACACAAATTCCATTGTAAGCTGCAATGAAAATAAATAGGATCGGACCTTAGAAGCAGGGATACCTGAACCTGCAAAACTTGTAAAGAATGTAAGATCGTGACTTTTACTAATTGAAACAAAAAAATAATGCTAAAAGGGGAGAAGAAAACAAAACCCAAGACAGAACCATGATATTCGATCGTTCACTACTCTTGATTCGTGGTGGTCACAGAACTTCTGACTGTAAATCATGAATGCATGCAAAACAAGCAAACAAATTTCACACAGATGCAAAGTATCAACTGGGGATTGGCTTCCATGAAACTAAATAAGAACAAAAAATAAAAACCATTGTCGTCTTGATTGAACAAGAAAGATAGAAAGAGAGATGTTATAGTCAGCTGAAATCATCCCCTACGGCCCCAGCCAAAAATTCTTATTGAGGAGCTGGCTTTGTGATGACAGTTAGATGTGAGAACATTTGTGCTTATTTTAGACACAAGCACAAGATAAGTAATTAACGAGAAGTTATTTTATTTAGTTCCGGAATTTTTGGAAGCTAAGTACTTAATCAAATTAAGTTTTAACAATTTGGGGTCTAATTATTCAAGCCTCCTACTACACTATGGTATTTACACATTTTATTGCCTAGGGGAAGATTGGTGTTGTAATTGAGAATATTAACTAGACTTTAATTGTTCTCCTAACTCTAGATTTTCTCCCTATCCTCAATATTTCTTTCCTTTGCCTCACTTTGTCATTGCTTATCTAAGTTGAATAATCAATAGCTTTGTACAAAGGACGAAGTCCAAAATGATGAAGGGAGTTGTTTGAAGAGACTGGTTGAAGCGAAGAGTACAGAACTAGGGCAGCAGGGGAAGGGTTTACAGAGACATATCATACAGAAAGCACACAGTCACACAATATGTATGAGATTAAAAATTGTAAAGGCATTTCAATTGCATATCACAGAAGTGTGAACCTGCACACCACCTGCACAGTGGAAAATGTGCTGTAAGCTATATTTATTGAAAAAATGGTTTTTGTTGAAATATAAATTTCTTTCGTGATTGAGCACGTATACTATATTGATATGCGTGTGTGAGGTATGAAAGCGTATGGAAGCGTTTGTGTGTGTATAAACAGAGACAGATACAGAGAGAGACAGAGAGGCGGTGGGGGGGAAGGAAACCACATAAATGCTTTTAAATATCAGTATTCATACCCTCCTTTCTCTGCAGGTTGCTATTGCTCCTCACCATTTGTACTGATTTTCCATTTGTGCATGCTCATAATTGCTAGAATTTTCATTTTGTTCTCTTTCCCTGTTCCACTGCTCAATCTTGGCCCGTCTCTCCTCACTGCCTTCTCTAACTGGACTACGGTTTCTTCTCCTTCCAGGGCTTCTGCTTCTACTGCGCCCTCTCCTTCCATCAGGGCTTCTGCTTCTACTGTGTCCTCTCCTTCCACCAGGGCTAACGGTCTTGTTCCTTCGGCTCCAGCTTTCAGGATAGCGATCCTCATCATCATACCTTCTGCTATGACCACGGCTCCCATGAGAGCGCTCTTCATAGCTACGATGCCTGTAAGGGCTTCGACTCCTGCTTCGACTGTGGCTATGCCTTCTCCGATAGCTCCCAAATAACTCACGCCTCAATTCCCTGACATTGTAACAAAGAGTGAGTTAAATTAATGCATCAGTGCGTTCTGCAATAAGAAATTTTTTTCAAGCAAAGCATACCTGCTGATCCTTTTCAAGTGCATAAAATTGCAGTATCCACCACGGTTGCATGTATTCTCCTCATACTGCCTGCAGGTGGCTTCACGGAAGTCTGTCACTGGTGAAAAGTCAACAATGATAGGACGACCTGCAAGTTATTTACCAAGAGATATAAGTTCCAAATATTACATATTGTAGGCCTTAAAAGCAATATAAACCATAACTAGCAGACACTTAGGCATCAAATTCTGAAGTTCAAAGATACGGTGTAGAAACTAACCAGCATAAAATCTTCCACTTAGGTTCCGAAGTGCATTTGAAGCATGTTCCTCCTCCCTAAACTGAACGTACACATTGCCCACCTGCCCAAATGGATAAGTTTTGCAGTAGTATCAATAATTTTTATGATGAGAAAATTGGAAAGCAGAGAAAGAGCTTATCTTTCTGTCGAATAAAACATACCATGTGGTCGGCTAGGTTGTCACAGACATTCAGACTTTCAATATCACCGTACTTACTCAGCTCTTGAAACAGATCCTCATAAAATTCCTGCAATTTCCAAAAAGTAAACAATGTAATTGTAGGAAATATGCAAGCGTATGTACTTACATTTATACACATATACAGAACAGAAAAGGATTGCACAGACACTAAGGTTTTCAACTATTTCACAGATGTAATATAAAGCATTTAGGTTTCAAGATGGAAAAAAGATCATATAATAAATAAACAAAAGTTTATTTTGCATCCCACTGCTCTGTATTTATATTTGAAGACCCTATACTCGAGATTGAGTTTACTTACATCTTCCTTTAATCTTCCTTTTATTCTTCTCTATTCCCCATTACAACCACTAGCAAAAGATCAAATCTTCTTCTTTAAATTAAAAAATAAAAACATTTCATGCATCAATATTTGAAAGATGTACTTTTTAAACACATTAATTCTGAATTTCACACAGGGAAAGTCGGAAAGAGTCCAATACACATAATAAAATCCTCTAATTCATAGAAATAGCACACAACAAATCCAAAACACAACATTCCGAACAAAAACAGCGCAAAATGCAAATGGGTTTTTGTTAAATCATGGGTTGCTTTCCTCTATAACAAAAAACAAACATCAAATAAAAACAAAAATGGCAAATGGGTTTTCAATTTTGAATATGAAGAAGGGCGAGCAGACCTCAAAGTGTCTTTGGATCGGGGGGGGGTCGATGGGCTGGCCCTGAGCGTCGACGCCGGGAGTGATCATATCGGGCCTCTGGTACATGTTGGAGAGCAAGAGGGTTGGGCTGACGCTGGGCTTGGTGTGGAGTCTGGAGCAGCGATCTCCATGCCTGCACGCCCCTATCTTAAAGTAGAAAGGGCAATTCACCCTGTCCTTCTCTGTCCCAAATATGGAAGCCAAATGCTCTGCCATTGCTCTCCTTCTCTCTGAACAGAACAGACTTCGCTTCTGTTGTGTTTGTGAATCGATGGGGGAAAGGGGGAATGGGAAAAGCCTCAAACAGTGTAAAATGTGGAGGTGGGTCTGTAAATATATGCGGACGAAGGGGTTTGTTGTTTTGGTGCTGAGCCATAGAGGGTAATTGTGGTCCTTGTTCGAGAGGGTTCCTTGGACGCGTGCATGATAAAAAAATCATTCACACAAGAAAAAATGTTAAAATAGTCCAACTCCTTCAAAATTGGACATACCCATTCAGTACAGTGATGTCACTGTTGGACAGTGACCCGAGAGTTGTTCAATGTCACTTTTAGTGAGTAACTTAAGAGTTTATTTCATGTCACTATACTAGACTGGTTTGTCCAATGTTTGAGGGACTGGACAATTTTGTCTTGATAACCTCATATTGTCCTTATATAGTAAAGCCCTTATATTATATGTAAGGCCATCTCCAGCCATGGGCTATATCCCAAAGAGTGCTGCTAAACGAATCCTAAAATTAACTGAGTACACCCTATGATCTAAGTATACCATAATATTTAAATTAAAATGTAAAATTAACTAAGTTTACCCTATTTAACTACCAAAAATACCCCCATTACATCCTAATACACCATTATAAAAACTTAAAACAGCTTTGTTTGTGTGTGTATATATATATATACTCAAATCTGCTTTTTGTATGCATTGGTGCAGAATGATGGAGTCCTGAAGATGAGGAAACTGGAAAAAAACTTGTTCTGAAGGCTATTGAAGAATCGGGCATAACAGATGATGAAGGTGTGCTCGTTACTAGAACTATGCACGATTTTGCCCACAAAATCCATGGCCCATCCCCTGAAAGGTCAAGGCTGTATAATTGGATTCAGAGGAACTGCTGGTATGTGTTGCATCGGGCCATTTCGCTGACAGTCTTCACATCATTTAGCATAATTGAAACAATCTTTCTCCATGGTTGGCCAAAAATAGCCATATCTCTTGATAAGCCATCTCATCTTTTTCCCCGATTGATGCGCACCATAAGATCCTTCGTGGATTTCTTCCATGACTCGCATTGATTCTTTTAGTCCGAGGCATCTCAGAAGAACACTCTTAGCAGACCGCCGGATTAATTCATTGTTCATGATAACGATTACTTGTTTGGTGCCAGATCAATTCAAGCTCCAGATTTAAAGTTGAGAACAAGCATGAGCATGTTCATTTGGTGGCCAAGGATTGAAATACAGTGTGAAGGGGAGTAATTGGGAATCACACCGTAGTGTCGCCTTTAAATTTGCAGCCTTGTTGGCCTTGGTTGGCTGGAACCTCATTCAAATTCAGAATCAAATGCAGATGGTTGGCTGGAACCTTTTTTTGTATGCGGAGTCACAAGCCCAAGACTCATATTTTTTCTTCTGTTTTGAAAACTTTTCAGAAGAAAAATCATCATTGTCATTAATTCTGCAATTCTATATGAATCAGACAGACATTGTGATGCTTGTCTCACAGTACAAGATCCATTCCTAATCATTCATTTATTATTATTATTGAGGTTACAAACAAACCCCCAAAAAAAAGTCCAATTTGGATGAATATGGTGAGTATGGTGTATTTTTTTTATTTTTTTAGAGTAGGGTGTATTTATTAAAATTACATTTGTTTCACAATTCAATATATCTTTTTTGGTCATTTTATATAAGAGTAAATTAGTAATTCAAGAAATAGTTTGGTAGTAGGGTGTACTCAGTTAATTTTAGGGTTCGTTTAGCAGCACTCTATCCCAAATATAGCTCTAAAATAATGCAAAATCTATCTCCAGTCATGGGCTAAACAAAATTTTGGCCAAATTTGGAGGACTACATTCGGCCCTTTAGCCCTCCAATCGGGCCACATGTAGCCCAACTTTTTCCTAGGCCAAATTTTTTGTGGACCCCATGCATAAAGCATGCTGACATCGTCATAGCTGAATATATATATATATATATATATATATATATATATATATATATATATATATATATATATATATATATATATATATATATATATATATATATATATATATATATATATATATATATATATATATATATATATATATATATATATAACCGTTGGAGGTTAGACTATTGAAATCCATCCTTTTTTAAAAAATTTATTTTATAAATGTGGTCACCTTTTTGAATGTTTTCAATTCATGTTATTTAAGAAAAAATTATTGGTCATGACCGTTGGAGGTCAGACCATTGAAACCGATCCTCTTTTTTTTTTTAAATAAAAAAAATTTAAAATTTGGTCACCTTTTTAAATGTTTTCAAGTGTTGTTTAAAAAAAATTATAAAAATTTTGTTCTTATCAACGTATACGTGTCATATATGGAATATTGTCTCTAAATAGTAGTTTAATTAAATTAAACAATATATAGTTGTGGAATGTATGAGTGTTGTACTATAGTTTTTCTCAAAATAATAAAATATGAAGGATCCAAAAATATAGCCCTGCATGGCTGGAGATGGAAAAATTTAGCTCTGCACTATTCTTTAAAAAATTAATATTTTGAAGGGCTAAATTTTTAACCATAGACTACATTTAGCCCTATGACTGGAGATGACCTAAGGTTCTTCTAAGAGCACTTCCACCACAAGGGGTTAGCCCAGGCAGGAGGAGATGGCCTAAATTTTTAACCCTAGACTACAAGAATATTTGGATGTAGCAAAGTTAGAGGATGTGGCTATAAAATTCTTTGGGAAGTACCTGAATATCAACTGAATAAATAATCTTTTCGAGTTTGAGTAAATGAATCCAAATTATATAATCGTGCAACATGAGTTAAGAATGATAGAGGAAGAAACTTAGACGCAAGGATGACGATAAAAAGTTAATTATGTCATTATGTGTGCTAAATCGCACGTAGGCATCCATAGCCAGAATATTATGACATTGTTATTGGTAGTATTAAACTAAAAGATGATAATTGAAAGCTTCACTTTCTAGCATGCATATTCAAACTTTCGTAAAATTTACATCCAAATTCCATTCTTTCACTTAGGTTCATCAAAACATGGTGCTCAATTGATTGCAAAGATAGTTGCGCCTGTGCAAAAAAGTAAAAAAAATGTGTACATTAAATATTTTAATCAAAAGGGAAGTTAAAATTTTGGTGCAACAAGCTTCCCAAAAGTAGTAAAATTAATTGAGCCCTAACCCATTTTCTGCTCAAGAGTTCCAACAGAGTATTCAATTCTTTGAGAATTCTCTTCTCTTAATTGAATAATCATCGAACCATGTTTTTCGAAACTACTTATATCATTTACCGTCGCTTCATCTTTCACCTTGGCGAATTATGCACAACTATTTGAAATAAAAGTAATTCGAGCCAAAATATTATGATGTTGATGGCATGTTATACGACCAAGTACATCCATAGATAAGATAATTTTCTAGGTTGTGGTTATTGTTGTTGTGTTATGGTACAAGAGGGGATCTTATATTTATATAAGCTCAAATACCTTGAGGTTTTTGCCCATCAAGGATTCTAAAGATATTCTCGTAGTCGTAAGATGAAACCTCTTACCCCAAATAAATGGGTCCCCATACTCGTACCCGAAGGTTTCACTATACTTTCCTTGAACCAACTGTTATTGTTCGGGTCAATTGGCTCCCTTGGAGTATAAAATTTTTGTTCAGTAGAGCTTCCGCACTGGAGAAGGAATTAGTAACTTAAATAAATAATGAGAAACAATTAATTAATAAAGACAAAGAAATAAAGATTAATCACTTACAATCACTGTAAATTGGCCACCATCAAGTATATTAACATTAACCACATGCGTACGCCTCAACATTTGTGAGTAAAAAAAAAATCAATTGTCAAATAAAAACAAACATTATAGGCCACAATAATTCAAACAAGCATTATACTTGGTTAAGGCTCCTCATAATTAATTAACTTTATAAGAAAACACTTTTGCCAAAAGGGCTAAAGGTACACCACACCCTTAAACTTTAAAAAGACTGAGATTTATGCACAATTATTTGAAATAAAAGTAATTCGAGTCAAAATATTACAATGTTGATGACATGTTATACGACCAAGTACATCCCTAGATATGATAATCTTCTAGGTTGTGGTTATTGTTGTTGTGTTACGGCACAAGAGGGGATCTTATATATATATATATATATATATATATATATATATATATATCTAAGCTCAAATACCTTGAAGTT